TATTTTCTTTATACAAAGTTCTGTGCATACACTTTGACCTGTTCCCCGGCCCTAAGGAATTTTTAGTTCAATTACAGAGATATAAGGTATCCGTATACTACAATACAGTGCCTTTCATGTGGTGGTAAAAGCAGTAAACTATGGGGTTCTAGGGAGATAGAAAAATAATTAAGGAAGACTTTATGAAAAAGGTAAAATTGGAGTTAGACCTTGAAGGATAGATAGGTTTTTCATAGGCAGGAGTGAGATCAGTTGGAATAGAGAATGACAGAAAAATGTATGAGTATAGTACTTTCTCAGAGTACTTTAGAGTTAGCGCAAGTGTACTATTTTATATAGAGTTGGGCGGATGGATCATATAGGAAAAGCAATATCTTGATAAGGGTCTGAGTGATAGCGAGTGACAATGAAAGGAAAATCTGAAAGAAAAATTATCTACATACTTTGCCTCTGAAATTGAGAACAAAAAAGGGAATAGTTTTGCTTTTCTTAAATAAGGCAAATGTATTTTTTTTTTTATTCCTTTATCTCCTTTTTGTTTCTCAGTTAACATGATAGTTTTAGTGTCAATGAGCTGTCAGATGGAAATTGGCCTTTGTTGTGGGAGATGGCAGGGGCTGGGCTGATTGTGGCTCATAGAGGGTCTGTGATCATAGCAGGCAACTGTTCTGTAGGGCTTGGTTCAAGTTGCAGCCATGCATCTTTAATGCTCTTGAGCAAAGCCTCAGGCAGGTTTACCTTGTTTAGCATCATCCATTGTAATGTTCCCCCTCACTAATTAAATTAATTCAGAATCGACTGTATAAGTATATAATAAAGGCTTTACTATATCAGTTAAAACTGTTTTGCCTGTTTTATACTGTAGGAAAACAACTACTGGAATGTAAAATAATATTGTCTTTTAGTATCTAGCAGATAGGAGGTACTGTGTCACACAGCTGTTGGAAGAATTAATAGTGAAGTATCTGCCTGATGAACTGTCTGAGAGAAAAAAAATATATGATGAAGAAACTGCTGAACTGTCACAGTAAGTTTCTTCTCATAAAAATTAAATTATGAACTACTACCCTTTGAAATAGTAAGGAGAAACCTTCTCAAAGCAAGCTGGATCCTGTCTTTAGTTCAATTCAGTCTATTCAAAGGCATTTTTAAGCAAGTATTGGTCAGCTTCCCCTGTCCTCAACACACAGAATATTATAAAAGTTCATTTGGTAGCATCCAAATGTTCTT